TGCAACAAAACGCATTAGCTCAAAATGAGCAATTTGCGTCAATTTAATTACACAATGTTGCTGGTGGAAACATTTCTCTCTTGTCCAAAAGTTCATGTAATTATTAAACTCTTGGGCAAATAAGGTTAATGTGTTTATCACCAGTCCTCTGAAATTTTGCTAATTATTTATTAATTTATTTAATAATGAATACCCATTTTCAATTAAAAAATTTGTTTCTCTAAATCAAATAATAATTCAACATTATATAAATTAAATTTAATAATTAGTTTAATTTATTTTCCTTAAATGCAAATTAAATAAAATGATTAAAGGAAAGTGGAGTGGCATAATTTTTTTTCTATAAAAAAATTTTTTTTGACAATAAACTTTGATAATTTAATTTACAATAACACAATTACAATTAAAATAATCTGCAACGCTTATTATTTTAATCCAATTTTGCTTATTTTAATACCAAAATGGATTAAAGTAAGCAAAATTGGATTAAAATAATAAGCGTTGCAGCTTATTTTAATGCCTTTTAATTTTCTATGAAAATTGATTTTAAAAAAAGGAATTTTTAAGAGAAAAAAAAAATTTTTCTAAACTTTATACCACTGTTTTTATATACTATACTGGTAAACGAGAGGGAGAGAGAGAGAGAGAGAGTAAAAAAGAAGTAAGTCTTATATGGCAAAATGATTTTTATAACAAGGCGAGATACGATATTTACTCTTCCAACCTGGAAATGAGAGTTGGATCAAAGTGCAGAGCAGATATTTGCAATTCCGTCCACGAAGAACCATTTCGTCGTTTACGAGCTAGCTTTTCATTTCCCAGATATAACGAAACTTTGTACAGTATCTCGTCGTAACACTATAACAGAGATTCTCTTTTTTTTTTTACTCTCTATACTTTTTTTTCGCGCTGCTTTTTTCTCTATTAAAAAGTATATCATATAGAAATTCTCTATATATAGTTATCATTTGAGAAATGAAAAGTTTCTAAGGGCATTGCAGAAAGTTTTACTCTTTCTCTCTCTCTCTTCTCTCCCTGAGGACACACAATTCAATTTTCCAACCTTCGCTTCACTATATATACCAATCAGGTTGGAACATTTATGAAACACACACGTATATTGCTATAACTATAACCTCAAGTGGAAATTGACATTTTAATTGGTCTCGAGGAATAAATGCAATTATTGTACATTCCTTCCTTTATATATGTCAAACTTATATATATATGATTCAATCCCAATTTTCGAGAACATGTCACGATTCCCATTAAAACAATATTTCGAGTTTGTTGTTTCGATTCTCGTTGAAAGAAAATAGAAAGTTTTGTATTAAAAGGAACAATTTATTTTTAAGATGGTTTCGTAGTTTTTCCTCTTAAAATAATAGTAGAGTAATAATAATAATAATAATAATAATAATAATAATAATAATAATAACAATAATAAATAATAAATAATAATAGTAACAATAGTCACAGAGTAATTTTAAAATAAACAGTAGAAATATCCAGTTTTGGTCAGACAAGAATTTTTGAATTAGTAGAAAAGGTCATTTTTAGTCAGACATCTTCAGATTATTGTAAGTACGACTTTAGTAGTAACAGACATTTTGAGTCAGACTTTCCAGTCTTGGAAAATACCTCAGTAGTAAAGTCTGTTTTTGTCAGACAAGAAAACCTCAGAATTTCGTTTTCAGTAGTCAAATACCATTTTAGTCAGACAAAATGGTTAAGAATTATTTTTAATTTTGATAAAAGTGTTAAAATCGATATTTAGTTAGACAAATTTTAATATCTTAAAATTTTACCAGTAGAAAATTAGTTTTTAGTCAGACGGTAATTTTTGAATTAGTAGTAAATGTAATTTTTTAGTCAGACATTCAGATTTCTGTAAATTCAGTTTCAGTAGTAAAAGTTATATTAAGTCAGACTTTCCAAAGTATTGGAAAATCCCTCAGTAGTAAATTCTGTTTACGTCAGACAGAAATACACTAAAATATTCGTTTTTTATATTAAATGGCAGATGGTTTAAATTATCATATAAATGTAATAAAAGCAGTAACTTTTGTCATAAATAATATATTTATGAATTTTTACTGTAACTTAAAAAATAAAAATAAAAATACAAATTAATCGACTAATAAAAATTGGAAAATTTGAAATCGTGAAATAATTTTCTTTTTTTTTTCGTTGAAATTTTGCAATATCCAAGTGATAAATGAATATTACTGACATGAGGAATATATATCATTTTACACTCGAGACAAGAAAGTAATGTGTGTGAAGGGAAATAAATGGAAATGAACGAAAGAGAAAAGAGAAGTGATAAATAATAGCTTAATAGTAATTAATTCAAGTGTGATGTCGTGCATGAAGATTAGACTTTGTAATAAAAAAACACAATTTCAAAATTGATTTATACGGATAAATTTTCCAAAATTAAAAAGGCAGAAATATACCATGGAATAATAACAGTAAAAAAAAATATATATATATATATATAAATTTTAAAAAAGGGTACGAAAGTAAAAAAAAAATTCTGCATTTTATACATTATTAATAGAGGATGGGAATTCTCTATTTCCCTTTTGAGACTAGAATATAAAAGGATGGGAAATCTCTTAAAGATATCGAACCTTTTGTTTCGATAAAGTGCACTTTTCTTCTCTCAGGCTTCTATTAAATATTTAATTCACCTTTGCCTGTTTGAAAAAAAAAAATTTAACGAAGCAAGGAAGTAGCGCACTTAATGAGACGAAACCCCAATCGTAAATTCCATCACTCCTTTTCCGGGGGAAAAAGAGTGAGTATCGATGCCATTCATCTCAAATTGAATTTAAGCTTCTCAAACTTCAAGAGCAGTTATTTCCTTCAAAAAATAAAAATGGGGAGGGGAAGGGAGAAACTTATGACGAATTGAAGAATGCTTTCATTTTACCATTTCATTAAACAAATTAATTTCACGATGCTATTTTTATTTACCTCGTATATCTAAACCCCTATTTTTTAATTCATATTTTTCATTTTAATCATCTCTTATAATCAAGAAACTTTTAATTACATCAACAATTTGTTTCAAGTATCTGTTTATTAACGAATTTTTATTAAATTGTTATTTTTTTAATTATTTGATTATTATTTAATAATTATTACATAATTATTACATAATTATTACAGGAATTATTATTAAATAATTATTACAGAACAATTATTATAGGATAATTATTACAAGACAATTATTATAGGATAATTATTACAAGACAATTATTATAGGACAATTATTATAGAATAATTATTATATAGTAATTATTATTTTAATAATTATAAATAATTGTCGCTTATTTATTTAAATATATTTTCTAAGTTCAAATATTATAATCGACAGAAATTGCTATTTTGGCAAAATAAAAATACTTAAAAAGTTTATTAACAAAAGAAGATATAAAAAAGTTTTTATTCTATAATCATGTGAATGATTCATTTGAGATTGAAATCATTGAAACTGTTTGCAATTCAAGAAAATGATAAGATTCAACCTCTCTCAGAGAGCATCGGTGACGGAGAATTTTTTTTTTCGCGCACAACTCATAAATATTTAAGCATTTAGATTCTAGATTTACCTTCATAGAATAGTAAATGTATAAAATCACAATCTTGTTGGTTTGAAGAAAAAAAAAAAAAAAAAAAAAACTTTTCACAATTTCCATGGCAACGTCAACTTCTTAGATCCATTGGATTTTTTTTTTATATAAAAACAAAAAAGAAAAAAAAACGTGTCAAACGAAAATACGTATACACGTTCTTTTGAGACACGGTTCGTTTTATATCCCAAACCAAATAAAAAAAAAAAAAAAAGAAAAAAAACCAAGAGAGAACTTAATTTTCCTTTGGTCAAGTTTTCCACCTTGTTTTTATTCCACTCTGGTTCGTGGCAAAAATTGCGACTTACTTTTCAGCAGCAAAAAAAAAAGGGGGTTGGGTGAAAAAATCTCCGATTGAAAAGTAGAGAAAAAAAATTTTCTGCCAAGACAAAGTTTAAAAAGTAAAAAAGAAAATTCTGTTGGCATTTTTAGTACTATAATTATAATTATTTTTTATAAATTCTAAAATTATTTATAAAATTTTATAACTTATCATTTATGTAAATTTATTTATAAATTTTCATAAATTTATATTTATATATTTTATTTATAAACTAATAATTTTTTATCCTAAAATAAAAAAATTTATCGAAAATTGTTTTTTTTAACTAAAAAAGGAAAAATATTTTTTTTTTATTAATGTTTAAATCTCCATTACCAAAGATTACAAAAAAAGAAAATCGAAATGCGATTCAGAGTATATAAAAGAAAAATAAAAAAATGACTATATGTAGAAACAAGTAAAGCGTGTATTGCGCACAACGTGACTAGGTTTATCGTCGTGGATAATGCGGTGGTCGTATTTTCTCAGCAATTGCATCCTCGAATTGGCCACATCGGCGCAATGGTACGTACAATTTACCTGATTGTTCGATATCCTTGCGCAGGATGAGATAAAGGCTTTCCGGAGAGAGAGAGAGAGTTGGAAAAGGGGGGAAGGGGAGGGGTAGAGGATAATCCTGGGTAACTTCGTCCTGGCTTCATCCTGGCTCAGGTATTGATCGGCCAGGTGTTTCCTACACCATCTCGCTCACACTACCGCAATGTAGAATCCTTTCCATATATACATATATACTCATTCCATTTTTCGCCCGCGGAAAAACTATGCGCGTCACGGTCAAGGTCTTTTCACTTTTTAAAAAAATAACTTTCAAATCATTTTTTTTTTAAATTATATTTTAAAATTATTATTATTATTATTATTATTTTTAATTAATATTTATAATTTTGTTTATTAATTTCTATTTTATAAATTATTAATTTATCAATAACTAATTTATAAAGAATTAATTAATTACTATTTTATTAATTTTTTTTGTTAGCTAAAATATGATTATAATAATTAATGAATAATTCTCGTGGTGTTGAAAGCATTTTTTAATTCCAAAAACTTTTACAATAATTTTTTTTTTAATATTTATATATTTAAAAACTTTTTCCACTCCTTTTGTCTTCATCCGGTTCTCATTTTCCTTATCTATATATATACTCGTGAAGAAACGGTTACAAGGCAAAAAGCATTCGACCATTTTTCTTTCTCAGTGTCAACCGCTAATTTTGTTTGTACTTTGTTCACTTTCCAGAGAGGTTGATTGCAACCTGCCTGGGGTGAGAGAGAGAGAGAGCCCGCACACTCTATTCCGGACACGCGTTCCTGGAATCAAATTAACTCGTAATTAGTTTTACATAAAATTGACGAACGTAAGCCTACTGTATATTTATATGTATATGTGTACATATATATATCTAACGAGAAGGATTTTGATGGGTAGTATGGGGAAAATTACACGAGAGAGGAACATTGAAAGCAAGCTCATCTCTCACTCGCAATCTCGTTATCGATGATTTACTCGGTTAGATATAGAATGGTCCTCCACACTCTGTGAAAAACGCAAATTTAATTCACTAAACTCCTCGCAATCATGACGTTGCGCAATTTAGTCCATTCTCTCGACGTTACGTTATTACGTACGCGATTCTGGCAAATACTACTTTTCAACTCGTTTTTCATTAAAAATTGAATCCTCCTTCTATCTTCTCCAGGGTGAAAATTCACAAAAAATTTCAATTACGCGAAAATTTTTTTTTATTTTTAACATTCCCGAAAAAAAATAATTTTACAATTAAAATTTTTGATCCTAATCGAAAAAAGTTCAAATAGAAACAAAAAGTTTTTTTTTTTCAGTGTTACGGAAAAAATGTGAAAAGAGGAGAAATTAATTCACGCCTGTCTGAGTATGTTGATTATTTCATCATCAGATATATATACCTATGGATTTCGTAGAGTCGAAATCAAAGTTTCTCCACGACTTGAAATGTGCTTTGATTTACATGTCAGACTTGTCTGAATCGTGAAGGCAGTCAAGCGTGTCACAGACACACAAATATGATGAAACTCGTGAATACCGAACCCCCCTACCCCCCCTCCCTCCTTCTCACTTATTGGCTGAGAGTATATGAAGAGATTACAAGTGGTGCAAGGACCACGCGATCTTCTGCATTCGACGCTTTTGACAATGATCTTTTGTGTCGTATTATCTCTCTATTTATAATAGAAACTCACAGCATCACATGCAAAAATAAGAAAAAAAAACAGAAAGAAGGCTTTCCTGGCCTATTGAAAATAGGATGTAAATAAATCGTATACAAAAATTCTTTCACCTAAATTCATTGTTATTTAAATATATATATATTATATATTTTACTCTCAATTTGGATATAATGCAAAAAAATTTCAATAGAGATTCACAAAATAATTACTAAGAAATATTCTAATACAGTATAATAGCAAGAAAAAAGAATAAAATAGGCGCAAAGAACGAAAAAAGTATCAGAAAACTATTTAAAAACATTTGGAACTATTTCGAAATATTTAAAACTACTTGAAGCTATTTAAAACTATTTGAAACTAATTAGATCTATTTAAAACTATTTGGAACAACTTAAAATTGTTTTAAAGTATTTGGAACTTTTTAAAACTTTCTTACAATTATTTAAAACCGTTGAAAACTACTTTTAAACTATTTGAAACTATTTAAAAACTATATAAAACTGTTTGAAACTATTTGGAACTAATTGGAACTATTTAAAACTATTTGGAACTAATTGGAACTACTTAAATCTATTTTAAATCTCTTTAAAACTGGTTTAAACTACTCTGAAACTATTTTAATATATTTAAAAACTATTTAAAACTGTTTAAAACCGTTTGAAACTACTTTTAAACTATTTAAAAACTATATAAATCTGTTTGAAACTATTTGGAACTAATTGGAACTATTTAAAAACCATTTAAAACTGTTTGAAACTATTTGGAACTAATTAAAAACTATTTAAAAATGTTTGTAACTACTTAAAATTGTTTCAAACTGTTGGGAACTATTTAAAACTTTTTTACAACTATTTAAAACCGTTTGAAACTACTTTCAAACTATTTTAAACGATTTAAAAATTATTTAAAACTGTTTAAAACTATTTAGAAATAATAAGAACTATTTCAAACTGTTGGGAACTATTTAAAACTGTTTAAAACTATTTTGAGCTATTTAAAACTCTTTTACAACTATTCAAAACTGTTTGAAACTATTTGGAACTATTTAAAACTCTCTTACAACTGTTTAAAACCGTTTGAAACTACTTTTAAACTATTTAAAAACTATATAAATCTGTTTGAAACTATTTGGAACTAATTGGAACTATTTAAAAACCATTTAAAACTGTTTGAAACTATTTGGAACTAATTAAAAACTATTTAAAAATGTTTGTAACTACTTAAAATTGTTTCAAACTGTTGGGAACTATTTAAAACTTTTTTACAACTATTTAAAACCGTTTGAAACTACTTTCAAACTATTTTAAACGATTTAAAAATTATTTAAAACTGTTTAAAACTATTTAGAAATAATAAGAACTATTTCAAACTGTTGGGAACTATTTAAAACTGTTTAAAACTATTTTGAGCTATTTAAAACTCTTTTACAACTATTCAAAACTGTTTGAAACTATTTGGAACTATTTAAAACTATGTAAAATTATTGAAAACTATTTGAAACTATTAAAAAATACGTAAAACTATTTGGAACTATTGAAAATTATATTTAATCTATTTAGAATTGTTTAAAACTATTTTAAACTACTTTAAAAATATTTTGAACTTGTTTAAAACTATTTAAAACTACTTGGAACTATTTAAAACTATTTGAAGCTATTTAAAACGATTAAAAATTCTTTCAAAAAAACAAAAAATTAACACAACAATAAAACAACAAAAAATCGAGATAAAATTCAAGAAAGGTTTCTACAATAATAATATATCATAAGGCATCATTAAAAGTCGGATAAAAACTCTTTAACGAATACACCTGACACAGGTGAAAATTTATCTTAAATTATATTAGTGGGGTTTTTTTTTCTCATTTTTTTATTTTTTTTTTTTTTTTATTTTGAATGAAGGGTGATAAAGTAGTTGCGTGGTGATTTTAAGTATACTAAACTCCTTGTAAAATATGTATTCTAACGAAGATCAGACTTATGCAAAGGGGGCGTGTCTCAAAGGGAGATCCGGTTTGTAATTAATAGGCCAGTCAAAGTCGAAACCACCTTCTAACCACGAATGAAGGGCCAGGTGTTGGGATAATTATGCAGAAGCTGTCGGACACAATGCCTCAACTATTACACTATACGTATATTGACCAAAAACTTTCAAATTACATTCTCAATACACGAATATAAAATTGTTACAAAAAAACTTTTTTCGTTAAATTCTTATATTGCATTTTTAATTCAAATTTTCCAGTTTTTATTTATTTTTATAAATTTTAAAAAAGTAAATAAATAATAAAAATAATAATTTAGTGTGTAATATAAAATAAATATAGTAATATAAATTGTTAGTGGGTGTGCTAAAAAATGTGATCAAATTAAAAAGGAAGAAAATGATTTTTTATTTTTTTTTAATAAAAGAAAAAGAAAAACGATATCACGTTGCATATTTTAAGTAGTAAGAGCGATTTTAGTCAGACGCGCCAGTAGAGTGAAAAGAGACAGTAACAGACATCTCGCTTATATGCTTGACATATGAAAATGTCAGAATAAAAAAAAATCCAGAGAAAATAAATTTTCTCAGCTTCAAAGAATATAAAAATTTTTTTTGTATTTTTTCCCCCCCAACAAATACTAATCTGTTAATTAATAAAAGTAATTTTTTTTGTAATATTTTCCATAAAGATTTTCTTTTTTCAATTCTAAAATTAAATTAATTTTTATTTTTCCAACAAAAAATTGTTATAAATTGATATATATATAGAAAATTTATATTATTGTAGTAGTCAGTTTTTTTTCATTTCTTGAAAGAAATTTTGTGGTCGGGAGAAAACCAGTTTTTGATTTAACACGCAGCTGCAGGCAAGTGAAGTAGCACAAGGTGTAATTTTGCTCAAAGCTGGGATTTTTTTTTTTTTTTTTTACACATTTTTAGTGTATTTCTTTTTTCCCAGTGACCTTAAGGGATTTAAAAACTACAGAGAACTGGTGATTACAAACTGGACTAAACTCGGATATAATTATACACACTGTATTCTCCTCGACTTATCGTTTGCCTTTTTTTTCTCGTTCTTTCAATTTCTCTCTGTGACAGAACGCGAAATTAAAATCGAGTAAAAAAAAAAACTTCTTTGAATAATTCAACCCAGTTTTATAAAAAAATAAAATGGCTTACTTTTTTCAACATTTGTTTATATTATTTTTTATATTCAAATTTTGTTAAAAAAAATTCTAATTCCGAAAATTTGAAAAAATTTGATGTGTGAATTTTACAATTTATGGTGTTAACAAGGAAAATGATAAGCCTCCTTAACGTATTTTTTTTTTTTTTTTTGGTGTTAAATTTCTTTCTTCATAAAAAAAGACATTTTCCTTAAGTCTTACAGAGAGACGAAAGTAGCAAGATCTCTTTGACGTTTATACGTTTCATGATCTGTACGAGGATTCTTAAGTCTCAAAGAAAAATACGAATTCCTGCTTTACTCCCCCCCCCCTCCCACCCCCAATCTTAGGGAAAAAAACGTAGAAAGCTTTCTTACAGAAATACGCGGAAATCTTCTTATGTATTTGATATTTTTTTTTTTTTTTTTGCAAATACATAAACATATATAAGAAGAATTCAAAAATTTTACAAAGAAAAAGTAAATAATAATTTATTTAGCAGAATAAACGGAAAAAAATAAATTTATTTATTTACATATATAAATAAATTATTTTATTTATTATTATTTATTTTATTATTTATTTTATTTATTTTTATTAAATATAAATAAATAATAATAATAATAATAATAAAATAGTGAAAAATTTGTATTAAATTAATTCAAAATTAAAATATTTTCTTTTATCATTTTTTTAAAATAAATTAAATTTTTTAAATTAATATTTACGTTTTAAAAAGAAACGTTTTTTTCTAATCATTAAAATTCACTCATCGGTGGAAATTAAATTGAATGTAATTTGTGCGCACTGTATAAAAAAAAAAGAGAAGAAGAGAGACTGAAATTTAATGAAAAAAAGTAGAAAAAAAAATAAATTTAAGCAAGTAAAATGAAGAGAAAAAACGTGAATCAGAAATTCTGATCGTGGTGACTTTCTTCGCTCGCTTTCATCCTTGCATCCCAAGGGTATTTCAAGTGGACGAAGCTTCCTTTTCCAAAGGATATCTATCCAAAAGAGAACCGACAAGTAAACATTTAATGAAACCGGTCCGTTGGAGAGAAAATACATTACATCAGTCTTGTTTCACCTATACCCCCATGGAAACAGATCTCCTTTTTTTTCTCTCTCTCTCTCTTCTTCTTTACACAATTTATCTTCAATTTACCTTTCAATTGATATAAATTTATACACGATTAAAAAAAAAATCTATTTTTAATTTATAGTTTTTTTTCTAATTTTTATCAAATTATATTTATAAAAATAATTACAGTAATTAAAATTTAAAATAAAATAAATAGAAAAATGTTCTCTTTTTAAAAATTTTTAACGTTTCTTCGCGTAAAAAATAAGAAATATAAATTGTCTATGTGTGTTATTATTAAAAGTCGTAATTCACATTTTATGTTTACGTTGCAGAGGCGATATGGAGGACGGATTTGGATTGGGTGGTAATTCACCACGATCGGTTGGTATTACTTGGCTTTATGAATCCACCCAACAATATGAGTCAGATAACACCTCAGCCTTACGTGACATCGACTCCATTTCGAAATTCTGATGACGATGATGATAATAATAATAATAATGATGACGATCACGAAAATAGTTCCCTAACGTCAAATTTCGACAATTCATGGGATGGAAATAAGGAAGAAATCCAAGAAAATACAAGTACAAAGCAAACAACATTTTTATTACCCCATTGGACATCGACGTCGATTGAGGCAAAAATTATTAATTGGACAACTGATCGTTCAACATCATTGTCATCATCAACTACAGAAACGATAGTGAAAAAAAATGATGATACTGATTCAAAATTTACTTCTTTTTCTTCAAGTGCTATGGGAACAACAACGAGAAAACCAACACCGAGAATTAGTGCAAGAAGTAATTCAATGAAAAGTAGAACTAAAAAACAAGGTACAAAATTGGGGAGACAATTTCAAGGGGGAAATATGACTGGACATAGTCTTCCATTAACGCTCAATAGTTTGGCTGATTTGGATCATCCGGAACATTTGAATTTGGAATTTAATCCTAGTAAGATTTTTCCATTCTTTTTTCAAAAAAAAAAAAAAACCCTTTTAATTTCAAAAAATAATTATAAGATTGCAGTAAATTGAAGATTTGGAGAATATAATTTTTTTTTTTTGTGAAATCTTTGTTTCAGACGATGGATATGGAAATATTACAATAACTTTGGAATATTTAAATTACGCAATGGCTCTTGGCGTTTATTCAGTGAGATATCCAGCCGTCTTTTGGTCATGCAACAAAGCGCTTGGCACCATTTTCAGTCTACAGCTAGTTGTGAACTCCGCCCAGAGCTTATTGGCTTTTACAGGAATGTCCGTCCTTTACAAGGCAAGTTCAACTCTATTATTGCATCAACTTATCTTCTTTCTCTAATTCTCAAGGAAATTCTTCGGAAATTAATCAATTCATCTTCTTTATTTTCTTTTGTCATGCAATTTTTTTTTTTACAAAATTCTTTAATTTTTTTTTCTTTTTATTTCTCGTAATTGTTGTGGAAATAAAATTTGTCAAAAAAAAACAAGGCTCCTGTTCCCTTTTTTTTATATTGAAAGGCATAAAATGTAAACTACTAAAAGAACAATTTCTCTGGGACCTCATTGACGTAAATTCGAAATGGCAAGCGAATGGCCATAGAGCACTGAAGCTTGTAACTTTCTGTAATTGGTCGTAAATCTTACCTTGAACTTTAATTACCTTTATATAGCTATATACATACGGAAAGACATGAAGAGCCTCACATCAGAAGCAATGACGATTTTACGTCAAGTTGTATATATATATATATACAAGAGGCAACTACCTTGTTTATTCGATTAAAGTTAAATCCTTCTCACAAAATTTATAGCCGATATATTTTTTTTTAATTCCCTTTTTTGTTTTCCAGGTTCAGGTGGTCGGACCACTGAAGGTATTACCTTACCTTCGACATCGTGCTATTTCAACTGCCACAACAACAATTTCCAAACTTTTTGGTCATTCTTTTTTTCTTTTAAATCCTCATGCGACACTTGGATTATTTGCATTATCATCTCTTTTGGTACTTTGCTCGAGTATGGTGATGTATCTCTACGCTCACGGAAGGTAAATATGTATTTCATATTTTCAAAATGAAAAAAAAATTTTAAATTAAAAAAAAAACTATTTTCCCTTCTAAAGTTCCATCCTACGAAGCAGAAAGATTATTTAAGTGGATTTGCTAAAAGTTGAAACTTATAATTAATAACTTGAAGTGGAATCTGATTTCAATTTATAATGTTAAATAAATCCTCTTGAATACTAATTTGTGGAACTTGCGTTGCATTCAACGATATAAAAAATGCGCATTTTTTTTTTCTATTTTATTTTCATTTCTCAAGTTTATTAAATAGAAAGGAACTATATAAACGGTTGAAAGGTCGTCAAAGACGATGAATACCTTTTCTCAGTCCCCGCGTACACTAGGAAAACGTTTTCGTTTTAACTTGCTAATTTTAGATCTTACCCAACTCTTGGTATAAGATCTTGGAGAATTCAATTTCTTGTTGGGTCTGTGTCCTCGTTCGTTACGACCCTTTTCCATTGCAATTTTCTTGATATAACAGCTCATATATAAACCGCTTTCTTCCACGAAAGCAGCTTAATGTGTAAGATGCACTCCTGGGATTTAATATCAAATATTTCTAAACAAAAAAAAAAAAAAAAAAAAAAAAGGATTGTCCCTTCTTTTTTTCCAAACAGTAAAATTTAATTAAAAAATTTCATTTCAATGATCGTAAAATTAAAATTAATTTCTTGCATCAATTTTTAAATGAAAATTTTGTTAATAAATTGTGTTTTTATTAACAGATTTATGGCGTTTTTAAATCAAGAACGAGAGCGACGAGTAATTCTCCTTAAAGAAGGACGCTATGGAAATGGCTGGGGATATATAACACATTGTGCAGCACTTTGTGTATTTCTTGCTATTGCATTTTGTAGCGCACCATTGCTGGCTGACTATGTTGTTGTTTATCGAGGTAGTTTAGATGGTGCTGTATTGGTATGCATAATAAGCACTGTTCTTCATCTCTTTTTGTGGCTAATATTGTGGATATTTTTGACAATTAAACAAAAATGGATTTTTAAATTACGCGTCACTGTTGGACGTGCTACTGTTAGATCAGCGCGTTCTGTTAAATTAGTAACGGACGTTGATCTATTATCGGCAAGAGACGATGAGGATGGTACAACAGCGCCGCTATTGGTTGTTGGCAATGGACGAACTTATACAATTGCTGATACATCGCCGAAAAAGGCAATTATGAGTGTTATACAAAAAGCCGCCATGGAACGGAATGCACGAGTTCAAGGTAATTTTTTTACAAGTTAACTTTTTTAAAATTAGTAAAAGTCATTTTTAGTTTCGCGGATTCCGCTACCTAGTTTCGCAGAATTCGTGATTTAATTTCGCGTCCTAGTTTCGCGGATTCCGTGATCTAAGTTCGCAAAAGACGCTACCTAGTTCCGCGGAATCCATGATTTAATTTCGCGAAATTCGTGACATACTTATACTTTCGCGGATTCCGTGATCTAAATCCGCGAAAGCCGCGTCCTAGTTACGCGGAATCCGTGGTCTAATTTCGTGAAAACCGTCACCTAGTTCCGCGGAATTTGTGATTTAAATTCGCGAAATCCGTAACCTAGTTTCGCGGAATCCGTGATCTAATTTCGCAAAAGACGCGTCCTAGTTCCGTGGAATCCGTGATCTAATTCCGCGAATGCCGCAACCTAGTTTCGCAGAATTCGTGATTTAATTTCGCATTCTAGTTTCGCGGATTCCGTAATCTAATTCCGCGAAAGCCGCGACCTAGTTTCGCAGAATTCGTGATTTAATTTCGCATTCTAGTTTCGCGGATTCCGTAATCTAATTCCGCGAAAGCAGCGACCTAGTTTCGCAGAATTCGTGATTTAATTTCGCATTCTAGTTTCGCGGATTCCGTAATCTAATTCCGCGAAAGCCGCAACCTAGTTTCGCAGAATTCGTGATTTAATTTCGCATTCTAGTTTCGCGGATTCCGTAATCTAATTCCGCGAAAGCCGCGACCTAGTTTCGCAGAATTCGTGATTTAATTTTGCGTCCTAGTTTCGCGGATTCCATGATCTAATTCCGCGAAAGCGCGACCTAGTTTCGCAGAATTCGTGATTTAATTTCGCGGCCTAGTTCCGCTGATTCCGAGATCAAAGTTCGCAAAAGGCGCTACTTAGTTCCGCGGAATCCATGATTTAATTTCGTGAAATCCGTGACATGCTTATACTTTCGCGGATTGCGTGATCTAATTCCGTGAAAGCCGCGTCTTAATTACGCGGAATTCGTGGTCTAATTTCGTGGATACCGTCACCTAGTTCCGCGGAATCTGTGATTTAAATTCGCGAAATCCATAACCTAGTTTCGCGGAATCCGTGATCTAATTTCGCGTCCTAGTTTCGCGAATTCCGTGATCTAATTTCGCAAAAGACGCGTCCTAGTTCCGCGGAATCCGTGATCTAATTCCGCGAAAGCCGCGACCTAGTTTCGCAGAATTCGTGATTTGATTTCGCGTCCTAATTTCGCAAAAGACGTGACAAAGTTTCGCGGATTCCGTGATCTACCTCCGTGACATCTGAGATCTAGTTCCATGGAAACTGTGATATAATTTCGCGTAAAGCGCGACCCAGTTTCGCAGAATCCGTGGTCTAATTTCGCAAAAACTGAGACCTAGTTTCGCGAAATCTGTGACATAATTTCGCGGATTCTGTGATCCAAATTTCGCGACATCCGAGATCTAATTCCATGGAAACCGTGACCTAGTTTCACGTATTCCGTGATCTAATTTCGCGAAAATTGCAAATCAGTTTCGCTAATCAAACTTTAGTCAGACAAATTTCCTTTAGCAGTAATTTTAAACATCAATTTCATATTCATGACAAAAATATTATGAATTTTGTTGGAAAAATTTTTTCCCTCTTTATCAAAGCAATTTTTTTTTCTGAAAATAAAATCCTCAATTTTCTTGTGATTCATTATTTGTAGGATTAAATGTCGATTCAGTGGATGGTGAAACAGGAGCAGACGGGGATGAGCAAATCTATTGGCTGAGACCAAAATTGAGGCCCTCACCAACTCAATCGCCAAGTGATGGAGTTGTGGCGACAACTGGAGATAAGAGTTGGCTGAACAAGAAACTCAAGCCAAAAGTCACCTTTAACGACCTGCCTAGTACGTCAGGCTCGCGGTAACTACCCTTCCTCCCTCCTCTTGGTGTCTTTTGTGTCTGACCATTAGTTTTGCTGGGTGTGTTCTTCCTTTTCATTTCGCTTCACCTAATCACCACTCTCATCAACATTGACAGAACAATTTTACCAAAGGCGAAAAAGAAACACAACATTCTTTTCTCATGCTTGTTTCCTCCTTGAAAAATCTCTCTCTCTTTTTTTCTCTAATCTCCTTTTATATACTTATATATAAAAAAAAAAAAATAATAAACACTCACCGACACAGACGAAACTAATCATTATTGTTCGATCTCATCAATGACGACCTTTAGAAAGAGGGCGAGAGAGCTACAATAAAATATCTCTTGAAAGTTTGAGAAGAAAAAAAAATCTCCAATTCTCTGCTTTTGTTTTTGTGAATATAACTAAAAAAAAGAATTGAAAATTTTTTTATATCATACAATTCCTTTGATAGTAAATTAAAAAAAAAACGACGATATTGAAAAAGTCGTTTATGATTGTCAATAATTTTTAAAGTTTTGCAGATAAAGAAATTAATTTTTTGATGGATATTAAAATTTTCAATAATGCTCAAACTTTTTCGAGATAAAATGCGGCGAAATAAATGTTAGATCATGGTAGTGTAGTAGGTATTGTTAGATTGTGTTGTTTAATTAATATTGCATTCTGAAATCCGTTGTTAACGCGATAAACACTGGCGATGCACACCTCAGGGATTACTACGTAAGAATTTGTATTACTTAAATTTTCTTCATTTCTCCCTAGATTGTTTTTTTTTAAATCTCGCTTGCACAAAAAATTCATTTTTCATCAAAATTTCGAAAGTATTTACTGAAAAATTAATTTTTTTGATTCAAATAAATATTTATTTACATCAAATAAATAATAAATTATACAAAAAAAAATATATATAAATTTTTTTTAAAGCTTTTATAAAAATTTCAAAATAATTTTTTTAAAACATAGCTTTCTTAAATAATTTTCCATTTTTTTTTTAAAGGAAAAATTTTCTTTTACCAGAAAAAAACTTTTTATAAAAAGAATTTTTTTTCTTATAATAGAAAGAAAATTCTTTTCTAGAAAAGATTGTCTTCCATATTTTTTTTTCTTTTTGATAGTGAAAAAATAATATTACAAGATAGAATTTTTCTATTTTATATAAAAGTAAATGTTTTTATATAGAAAAAGAAAATGTTTTTATATAAAAAGTAAATTTTTCTATAGAAAAAGTGAACTTTTTATACATCGTAAATAGTATTTTTTCAAAAAAAAAAAAATGATTTTTTCTTGCATGTAAGTTTTATATAAATATTTAATCAGTTAATGAAAAGTTTAATTTGATTAAATTAATCATAACTGATTTTAAAACATTAATATAGCAAATTAATTATTAAGTAGTCGTAAATTCGTAGTATTTTTTAACAACGTGTAAATATTAAATTTTTATACAATAGTTTCTAACTATATATATATTGTTTTAGTTAACAATGTTATCTAGCTTTAACTTATTCGTACATTTGTATCTAGTTTCACAACTTTTGTATACTTTATTTAACTTGAAATACAAATATATACTGCTTTGCATTATTAAATCAACTAACATTCAATTTCGTCACATTTTCTCCCTCACTAATTATTTTTATTAAATTAATTCTACACTTATTTCTAGCATGCTAATTTCTTTTAAAATTCATTTGTAATTTAATTTCATTCTAATTACTATATAACTCGCATTTAAATTAACATTATAACTTCGACTTTTGTAACGAATTTAATTATTCCTCTTTGTTGATTAATTAATCATTATATTTGCGAATTTAAATTAATTATTTTTTAATTTGATTTTTTGCACCTTGTGAAAATAACGTTTTTAAAAATTTAATTTTCTGGTAAAAATTATTTAATATTATTCTTTGTTATTCAAATATCATTTAAAAAAAAGAGCCAAGAGCTAATAAAAGTAGAAAAAAATACTTTTACATCTAATTAAAATTTTATTTTAACATCAATTTTTTAATCAAATATCCATAAAAAATGAATGTTAAAAAAATGCAATTAATTTAAATTCAAGTAAAAAGAAATATATATCGATGAAGTAATTTGAAGATTAAAGGCCTCTCTTTTTTTTCTATATATATCTTCAAATCTTAAAAGAAATTGGAATGGGAACTACTATCGGGAAAAAAACTTGTCTCTTTTTTTTCTTGCAATCACATCGATAGAATTTTTTTTTTCTTTTTTTTTTTCTTAACAAATGCTTTCATCTCGCCTGGCCCTTTAATATAAGTCGCGCACAGTGTGTATTTTTTATTGATACACGCAATAAGAAAAATAAACATCTTAACCTCGAGTATCTTTGATGTTTAAGTAATAAGGGAAAAGCCAGACGAGGTGTCGCTGATGGTGGACCCGACGATGATGGAGACTACGCAACGTTACGTGAATTACCATTAATGACATCATTGGATCCCGCCGATGATTCCACTTCCGAAGAAAATAAGGTAATTTATCATACAGAAAAAAAAAATTTTTTATTTTTCAATCAATTTTTCTTTTTAATCACAATTTTTCATCATTAGAAAAAATTATTTTTAACTGACGAAACGGTTTCAAAAAATTTGTGCTTTATTTTTTTTATTTTCTTGTGTTTTTTTTTTTTTTACTTAAAAAAGGTAGTGGAAATTATTATTATCCTAAAGTAGTGGAAAAAACTCACTTTCTTTTGTTTTGTACTTTTTTGACAGTGGGGAAGGTGGCTGGTACTTCGTAGGACTGGTATTCCTAAATTTACAGATGTAAGAGAATTGTTTTTTGTCAAAGCAAAAAAAAGACTGATTTTTTCAATTTTTTTACTAACAACTCTATGCTTTTTATTTACTAACTCATTTTTATAGAATAGTTTTGAATGTTTAGAAATGTTCATGTCCTAGAGGTTTGCATATTCTTTGAATGATGTAGATTTTAGTTTTTCCAAAAAAAAAACTAACTAACGAAAAGTATGATACTTTTTTTAATAATATTTCCATCAAACAGATTGACAAAAATAGAAAGAAAAAAATATTTAGTATTAGTTTCTTTAAACAAAATTTTTTTTCACCCTTTTTTTTTTGTTTTAAAATTAAATATTTGTCAAATAATAAATGAAACTAGAAAAATACAACACTACTTTCTCAAAAATAACACAGACAAGACAGTTTTTTTTATTTGCATTTTCTATTTTTTTAACTATTAGCTGAAACATTAAACGTTTATAACTTTTTTTTTGTTTGCCATTCATTTTAGATTTTTTAATTGTTAGCCAATAGTTCTTATTTATTAATGAAAAATAATTAAAGAATCAGTTACGTATTTAAAAAAAAATTATTATATAAAAAATAATGATTAATATTTATTATTTTTAATAATATTTATTAATAAATTATTAATTCTTAAATAAAAGAAAACAATTAATTAAGTGACTGTGTGTAAATTTACTAATTAAAAAAAATTAATTAGAATATTAATTTAAATTTTCATGTTCAAGATTACCTATTATGAAAAGTTTTCTAAGGAAAGATATATATATAATTAAAATAAATGACCCCATTGTCTATATACTATAACGTGAAGAATTATATAAGCTTACTATATTAAAAATTTCTATTAAAATTTCCATTAACATTTATTATAATAAAACTAACTACAAATACTAACGCAGCACGTGTCTTGGCAGCTTCTGGAGTGTGTTAACGACGACCAAGTGACATACTATGCAAGCGGTAACCGCGATCTACAACCTTCAGAGGGTGATCCCTCCCCACTACTCACCCCTGACCCTTTGCCTGATCCTGTTTCGGAGCCACTTCCGCTACCGCCGCCAACTCCGACTTCCGAACCATCCACCGAAGTCGCCTCAGCGCCCTTAATTACTAACCCCCAGGTACTAACTAACACACCTGTTGACATTTTCCCCACCAATTATTCATAATTATCCACGTCCTTGCTTTCATTTAAAACAAAAAAAATTCTACTCCTAATTTCGATAATAATTTGTTCAAAAAATAATTTTTATTAAATTCCAGTAGAAAAAAAATTGGAATCACTTTTTTATTAAGTTTTTTTTTTATTTTAATTATTGTTTTTCTATTAAAGTTTTCTAAATTTAGTATGAGTGGTGAAAGTCAATTTTAGTCAGACGAGAAGTTTAAATACTCTAGTAAATTTATTTTCAGTAGTCAAAGTCAATTTTAGTCAGACAAGATGTTAAAAAAGGATGGTTAACTTATTTTCAGTAGTCAAGATCGATTTTAGTCAGACATGATTAAGAACTTTGGTAATGTTAGTTTTAGTAGTCAAATTTTAGTCAGACGAAACTTTGCTAAATTTAGTAGTAAAAGTCAATTTTAGTCAGGCAAGATATTTAAAAAATTTGATAATATTTGTTTTAGTAGTAGAGGTCAATTTTAGTCATACAAAACAGTTCTAAACTTAGTGTGAGTAGTAAAAGGCAGTTTTAGTCAGACAAGATGTTGAAAAAGTTTAGTAAACTTATTTCCAGTAGTCAGGGTCAATTTTAATCAGACAAGATGTTTGAAAACTTTTATAATTAAGTTTTAAGTAGTGAAGATCAATTTTAGTCAGACAAAACATTTCTCCATTCCTGGAAACTCATAGTCAGTGGTAGAAATAAATTTTAGACAGACAAAACGTAAAAATTAATAAGTTTATTTTCAGTAGTCAAAGTCAATTTTAATCAGACCTAGCGTAAGAGTAAATGTATTTTCAGTAGTCAAAGTCAATTTTAGTCAGACAAATTCTAACTAAACTTCAGCGGTTTTAGCGACAGTAGTAAACTGTATTGTTTGTCAGTCTAAACAATATTTTATTTGGGCCTATTTTCAGTAGTAAAAATAAATTTCAGTCAGACAAAACGTTTCCTTAATTTTTGTACGTTCCGTACAAATAGTAGTGAATTCTGTTGAGCTTACTTTCAGTAGTCAAGGCCAATTGTAGTCAGCCAAAGCGTTTTTAAATTTTCAATTTAGTATTAGTAGTAAAACTAATTTTTAATCAGCCAAATCGTTTTCAAATTAGTAGTAAAACTACTTCTTAGTCAGACAAAATTTTTCTCAAGTCTGGTAAACTTAATTCTAGTTATGAATTTTAAAATTCAGTATCAGTAGTAGAAATAAATTTTAGTCAGACATTGTGAATTCTATTAAAACCTAATTTCAGTAGATAATGCTAATTTTTGTCAAACATGTATTATTTTTCCATTCTTTTTTCTTTCTTTCTTCCTTTTTAAAATACGAAAATCCCTCATCCAAAAAAAAAAGAAAATGCTAATAAATTTCAATTATAAAATTTGTTTTTCATTCACAGGTGAACGGAGGACAAACACCACGTTGTCTACGTCGTGCTGATTCTGGAATGCCACACGATGAATTAACACCGCGTTCCGATTCATCAAATTCACCGCCACTCGACGTTGGTACAAATTCAACGGGTCACAACAGCAACACAAGCACAAATAGCGAGACATCAAGTGGCGTTCACAGTAACGCAAGTAACGCAAGTAACGCATCAAGTTCACAACGTCGCGCCACAAGTGTCGACGATCTCACCGGTGAACCACGCGAGGAACCACAATGGCGAAGTTGTTCCCTACAACGTGGCGTACAACCACCAACAGCAAATAGCGTTTTTCCCCCACCACCACCGCCTTTAAATCCTCATCATCATCATCATCATCGACACAATCAAAATTTTTCCCCTCAATATGTGAATCACAACTCACTCTACAATGGAACATCCAACAGTGAAATGGTTGTCGCCGGTTGTCCCGCTGTTATTCTCGAGAATACAAACGAGTCAACAGTCGTCATACGTCGACGATCATCGCGAACAAAACTCACTGAACCTCTATTAAATCACAATGAAGAGCCATTTGGTCGTTCCACAAATATGCGAATGACATCGTTCACTGAAAATACAGATTTACGTGCAATTCAAGCGTCTTCGGCAACATTGCCACATTATCCCACACAGCCAATGGTGACTTATCCACATTGTTCAACAATGCCATTGCCACATGCCTCATCGCACGGTATGTCAAATGGCACCGGTGGAGGTGGCAATGGTTCAGGTAGTTGTGGATCTGTTTCACGAAATATAAACAATGGCTTATCGTCAACAGTGATGCACAGTAGCATTCCATCGCACACAACATTGCCATCGCATCATAATGGCGTGAGATTAATTCCAGGTGCATCAAATCCATTTGTCAAACGCTTCCCACCTGTTCCTGTGCATACACATCAGGGCTGGGCCCTACCTGGACATCATACATTTCCACAGGCAGCCCTTGGCAATAATAATAATAATAAATTATCAACAACAGCGCAAATTAGACAAAGCGATCGCGATTCAGCTAATTTCTCAATGGCAAGCAGTGGCGATTCTGATACTTGTTTGCCACATTAAATTATTACCGCATCACCTTTAACCCTCACGAAAAGAAATAGGGCTTAAGTTACGTTGAGAGGCTTTTTTTTTGGTGATGTGATTCTCTATAGGCTGACTAAAATTTGGTTATACTACTGAAATTTTTCAGAGTATTTTGGAATATTTTTCGGATTTTTCTAAAATTGATTTTTACCACTGATTCTAGATTCACGAATTTGTCTGACTGAAGCTTGATTTTACTACTGCGGGAAAAAAATCTTTATTTGGAATAGAGATGTATTTCTCTAAAATAGCTAAAACTTTCGCTGCTTTAGAGAAACTTATCGCTGTTTCAAGTAAAGATTTTTTCCCGTGTGTAAAAAGTAAATTTACTGGAATTCGCACCGTTTTTACATAATAAAATTAAAGATTATGTCTGACTAATACTAATTTTTATCACTGATACAAAAATTGTTAATTTGTCTGATTAAAACTTGACTTTACTACTGGGATTTATTTACAAGAAGTTATAAGGATCAGTCTCACTAAAATTTACTTCTACTACTGACATTAATTTTTTAGGAATGCAGAAATATTTTGTCTGACTAAAATTGGCCCCTACTACTGAAATTAACTAAATTTAGAAGAATTTGCACTTTTTGTCTGACTAAAATTTACTTCTACTACTTAATAATAAAATTCCAAGAATTCCAAAACGATGTGTCTAAGTAAAATTGATTTTTGCCACTAATTCTAAAATCACAAATGCAATTTGTCCGACTAAAACTTGATTTTACTACTGAGACTAAATTTACAAGGGAAATAATTATTAAAATAATTATAATTAATAATTTGAAATAATTATGATTAATTATTAAAATAATTATAGTTAATTATTAAAATAATTATAGTTAATTATTAAAATAATTATAGTTAATTATTAAAACCAATTGTTGTCAAACAAAATGTATCTAAATTCTTGTAAATTTCGTTATCAGTAGTAAAAGTAAATTTTAGTCAGGAAAATCCTTGTAAATTCTTTGTAAGTTAAGCCTTAGTAGTAAAAATCAATCTTCAGTCAGACAATTGAAATTTCAGTATCAGTAGTTAATATCAATTTTACCTAAACCCTAAATAATTGAATTTTATAAAAATTGCAGAAAACATTTTTTTTTTAAATTAAATTTAAAAAAACGTTTTTCGTGGCAAAAAACAATCAATATAGAGAAAATCATTCACCAATACGAAAATTTAGTATAAAAAATCGTGAAAGTGAAAAAATTTCCAAAAAATAATTTCTAAATTAAAAAAAAATCCAAACGATAAATTGCAATTATAAAAAAAAGAAATTATTCACTTTTGCAATCCTCGAAATTTTTAATATATTAAAAATAAAAAGGTAAAGCTAAAAAAATTCATCAATATTCAGGTTTGGTTTCTGCGCGAGACTCGAATCTCGAATCTTTTTTGAGACAATGATAATGATAATAAATAATAATTATTATTACAATAATAATAATAATAATAATCATATTAAGTAGAAAGTTATTGTGAAATTAATGAGAGTCTAGTTATTTGCGCGCAAAAAAAACGACTCCAATGGTAGTTTTTATATCTAAAACAAGCAACAAAAAAAAAAAATTAAACTTTATACTTGTCGTATTTTTCGATTTTAGAGAGAAAAAAGGAAAGAGCAAAAAACAAGAAAATTACATATCCAAACAGCTTTCTCTCGTATTTTTTGATACCAATCTTTGCATCTGCAACGTGTGTATGTGTGTATGTATAATACTCAAACGGCTTTACAAATAAATGTAAAGCTAGTGTAGAAGTAGAAGTTGCTTTTTTCCCAAAAAATTTAACAAAAAAAAAAAAAAAAAAAACATCATTGTTGAAAAAAAAACATATCCTTCACTTGTGATTAACATCTAATCTTGGCTATTGTATTTCTTCTTGAATTTCGAAAAATCGTGATATCCTTCTAATATAGGAAAGGAAACATTCGATTCTATACAATCGATTTCCAATTTTATGAAAATAATTCATTTTTTATAGCAATATTTCACTGTTATTTATACAAACAAATTTTTTTAATTGTTACGAAAAACAATTCACTGTTAGAAAAAGAAACAATTAGAAAAAATAATTTCCTTGTTAAAAAAAATAATTTTCCTGTTAAGAATATAATTTTCCTGTTAAGAACATAATTTTCCCTGTTAAAAACATAATTTTTCCTGTTAAAAACAATTTTTCCTGTTAAAATCATAATTTATGTTAAAAAAAATTTTCTTTTTTATTAAAACGATTTCCTGTTATATATAAGAAAACAATTCACTGTTAAATAAGCAATTTCCTAAACTTCCTTATTGTACAAAACAATATTCCATTATACAAACAATTTTCCACTATAAAAAACAAATTTTCCACTATAAAAATAATTTTACATTAATATTAGAAAAAAAAATTCCCTACTATATACCAAACACTTTTCGATTGTACAAACAATTTTTAAACATTTTCCTAAACAATCTCTCAAAATACCCCAAAAAAATTCCCTATTGTATAAAAACAATTTCTCACTATACAATAAAACTTCTCATAATACAAACAAATTTTCTATAATATTAAATATCCTTAAATAAATCTCGAAAAATAAAAATGAAAAAATCCGACTAGTTACGTCTAGAAAAATAATTACATCGGTTAAAGTCAAGGAACTTTAAAAATTAAACTCAAATACAAATTAATTAAAAAAACACATGAAATTAAAAAATACAAAATAAAAACTAATATACTAAATAATAATTGTGCTTTTTTTCAAGACGTTTGAAAAGATAAAAGTAAAAATCAAAAACATACGCAGAAACCAATCCTGAAAATGATTTACATTTCGGTTATAATATAGACGATAAGAATGTACCTACCCAAAGACTTGCTTCCTTATATTTCCCGCAAAGATGAATTTTTCCCCGCGATAATTAATGAAAAAAAAAACTATATTAAACTAGATGAATTGCTCGATACGTAAGAAATTCGATAAGTATTCCATCGATGTTATATAATAAATATATGACGGAATATAAACTCGTATCGCTCTTAATAAGGTTCGTGTATAGGGAAAGTAAGTACGTTCACGATGGAAGTTTTGATTACGCTTCCTCTCGGATATGTTATAAGACTTCAAATATAAGAATTTAAAATATACTATATTAGAATGCTTTTTCTATAATTATAAACAATATTGTACATTTTGTTAACGACTCCACTGTACATTGCTAATACCGGTTTTTTTTATAATTTTTTTTTCACAATTTCATCTTTTTCCATTTCGACAAAAAATATGTTATAGAAAATAAAATTAATTTCACCTTTTTTAATTATCAAAAAAAAAAAAGAAGAGTTACTTTTCTATAACAAATTTTTCGAAAAGAAAAATTGTTTTTGACTTTGAGAAATATTTCCAAATTGGTTAATTAAAATTTTAAAAATGATACCAAAAAAGGAAAACATTTCTCAGAGTATAAAAAAGCAATTTGTAAATACATATATTAATTATAATTAGCCCATATTGATAAGCTACAATTAAGTGCCATTGATATTTGATAATTTCCTTTTTGGAGAAAGAGAGAGAGAAAGGTACTTAAATTTTGAAAAAAAAGGCGAAAATGGCACTCTAAAGGGATTACAAGTACAATGGCACGTGCCATTTATGTGTTCTTGATTTTAAATCGAGATTATAAATGAATTACTGCCATTCATTTCAATGAATCTCTCAATATTGTGCATTTACTCTTATCGACTGTCCATTATCGCCTTAGTATTTATAATTTTTTTTTTCTCTTTATTATAATAATCCATTATAATATAATTGTATTATATTATAATTCTTTTTGTTCTATAATTGCGAGTTAGAAAAAAAATTTCCTTTCTCTAATTCCTATATAAATATATCTATTGAAAATGAACTTTGCAAAATATTGCCGGTCTCTTTCCTCGATAAAGTAGATTCAAAAAAAATTCTAAAAAAGAGAAAAAAAATAGAATCTCGACTTTCTTTTCATAATATAATGTATGATGTAGATAACGTGATATCTGTGACCTTGAAAATGTGAGAGCTTCAGATAATTTGTTCGAAAACAGCCTTTTTCGAAATCACGATCTCTACGCAGAAAGTAAATATGTATTTTTTACACCGCCGACATCTTTAGCTAGATCAAAAAACAAAAAGAAAAAAAATGAATTGTAGAAGGAAATAATTTTTAATATTCATAAAGTAGCGTTCATTTTGAAACTTCATGGCCACGATTTCATTCCTAAATATTACTGATGAAATGACCAAAAAAAGAAAATAAATATTTTTGGTAGACAAATTTTTCTCGACTCAAATGGTTTATGAGACTTTTTAGCACGTGTATTATTATAAAATAAATCGACCAAATGAAATCGTGATCGGTGAAATTTTCCATAAGGAAAAAAAAATAATTAAGTTTTTACATCATCGATCACACATATCATCTTAAGGACCAGATTGAAAAATGGAATTTTCAATCATAGTCAACAATAGGACTTTCAAATCATGTCAAAAACAGACTTTTCCCTAATTATTATAACTTGGAAGGTTTCCACAATAATTTCATAATTTTTTTGAAGACTTAAAATTATTAAATTCAAAAACAATGTCAATTTATTTTTAAAACAATTAACCGATAAAAACTTAAAATAATAATAACAAAAATTTTAAAATCCAAAAAAGTTAATTTTTTTTTTTTGTGAATAAAAATGTTCCTCCAATAATTTTTATGAAACTATTTTGAGGAAACTTGACCAAGTTTTGCATAAGACAATAGAAGTGCTTTCATACATTTTTGACACGTAAGATTTCAAAAAAAAAAGCGAGAGCATTTTATTTTAAGGTCTACCTCGAAAAGCAAAAAAAAAAAAAATATGCAACCAGGGTCAGCAGTGTACCTTTATAATATTCATTCTCACAAAAAAAAAAATTATCACCATCATCATCAGTAGGGCAGAAAAAAATATGTGTAGTTTACTCGTCGCATTCACAAGAGAAAAAAAAAGAGAGCGCTCGCTATCTTTTTTTTTGAAAAATATTTTTTTACCGCTAACGACACATCTCATCATTAAAAAAAAGTCACCTTAGATCCGGCTAGAGTCTAAAAAACACATTTTATCTGTAGACAGATTAAGGAGGCTCCGAACCGGATTAATAAAATATTAAAAAATATGAGAGGAGAAAATCGGCAAAAAAATGACTTCCTGCAAGTTCCCATTTCTTTATTGGCCCAATAAAATCTCAATTTTTCCCCCCGTGGCCAATTCGTCCAAAAAAAGGGACAATTAAGGAGGAATTAATTTAAAAAATAATTGCAAATCAAAAAAATTCTAAAAAAATAATTTGGGAAAATTAGATTAGAAATTATTTCCACCATCATGAGATTAAGTTTTTGATTGTAATGGATAGCCGGTTAGAGCTCTCCGCTTTGCGTCATATATGACGAAAAAAAGTGAGTAGGTCGTCACAAAAAAGAAAACAAACGCTGTAAATAATATAACAATGAATCATGTGAAAGCTAATGTACGAATATTGTATAAAGACTGATTAGATTAGCCTTGTGGTATATTTATTCAAATTATAAATTTACCAGCGTTCTCGCGCTGAGATTTCACGTCGCAAGAGCGATATGTTTTTCAATATTTTTTCCTTTCATAATTTTGTCCCTACAAGATTATTATTGTTATATTATATTTTATTTATAATAATTGTAAAGTAAATTTTAAAAAAACCGAGTGTGGATAGAAATTTTACTTCTAAGATTATGAAGAAATTTTTCTCGCTATTTATAGGTATATGAATTTGTACTGAGATATTTTACTATTTTTTTATAGTTTAAGTAAAAAAAAAGTAAAAAAAAAATATCAATTAAGGAGAAAAAATTTTTTTTAATAGTAAAAAAAAAACTTTTTTCAATGTAAAATTTGATGCGTGAATTTTGAGTGAAAAAAAAAATAATTAATGTATGTTGCGTTTTTCAAATTGCCGAGAGAAATCTCACTGCGTGAAACAGAAAATGAAAATAATGACATAAAAAAAAAGAAGCATAACTTGAGCGCAGTTATAAAAAGCGGCACTATTATCGTCAC